ATATATGCATATATATATGTGTGTGTGTGTGTGTGTGTGTTTGTGTATATTTTGGCAGCAATACCTCTTTTATACATGTTTCGTTAAAAACGACTGACACCGTATTGCTATTAAGCGTTAATGTGTTTTTTTTCTGGACACAAATTGTGTAATAACCGTTCTGCGTACCCCAGCGTTTTTTGATTATTCTTGTAGTCATTATGAAGTACGATTTTATTTATTATTTTTAACTGAATGTGTATTTTATATATATATATGTATCTGAAGTTATAGAAATGTTTTATTTTTCAAACACTGTCAGCACGTTATATTGGTCATACCACTACATGCCTATCTAGAGTACTCACATTACACCTTATCTGATCACAGCTCAGTTAGGACTCATTTAAACACACATCCAAACTTCATCCACAACAAACTAGTAGAAATTACAAGTATGATAGCCTCATCCACATGTAAAAAGCCTGAAAATAAAAGGAACATTGATAATAAAAAAAAAGAAAAAGCCAACACTCAATAACATTAACTGTAAACACGGTCACAGGGTGAAATAAAAATCGTCCTTGATAATGGATAAAAGAATAGCGGAAAGCGCTGGGATATGCAGCCTCGACATACTTTGTTTCTAGAAAAGAGTCTCGACATACTTTGTTTCTAGAAAAGAAAACACTTGTATGAATGAACACAAGTAAAATTAAATAAAAAGTTTAATCGCAGTTGTCTTTAACGAAACTTATATATATATATATATATATATATATATATATATATATATATATATATATATATATATATATATAAATTGTTATTTACTTGTTTTTTTTTACTAGGAATGAGAAAAAAAATAGTATTACGAAAATTTTTTTCCCATTTTCCGTAATGATTAATGCATTTGTCTTCATGTAAGATGCAAAACTGACATCATATTTAAATACATTATATTCAGTCACTTTGGTGAAGTTCTCATTTCCTGTTTGAATCGTTTTATATAAAATAGATTTATTTTATTCCTGAGAGACGATCGCTTATTTATGGCTACGCCTCATGGCGACACAAAGAGACGGCTTCTAAGAAAACATTTGTAGGTTGTGCCATTCTTCAAAGGAAATCACTTCATTGTTTATAACAACGAAACCGTGCGAACTATAATGCTGGCCAAAGACTGCCCGACGGCGCCAGGCGAACTTGAACCTGAAATGATCTGGCTCCAAAAAACCTGGTTTTCTCTCCACTCACGTTGTTCTACTACCGCCTGTGGCCACTGTGGGAATAAATTAGTCACACCGTTCTTAAAAAATAAAATAAAATAAAAAGATGACTTTAATGCAGTTATTGACTCGAGCGTTTTTTAGTTTCTTTTAGCAAAAACTGTTTGGCAAGTTGTGCACATTGTAGGTTGAATATTTCATCTTTGTGAAAAATGTAGATCTAGATGTTGCTGTTCTTCTTGATTCGTTATTTTTCGACATTTTTGGGGTTTTGCGCACGCGCGCGCGCGCACACACACACACACACACACACTCACCAGATTCAAGGTTTCTTAACTTCAGAGATTAGACGAGAACCGATGTTTCAACATGATATGACCGCGAGAAAAAAAAATACTTAATGGGAGAAAGATAGAAAAAAAGAAAAATGTGTGAAGAGAAGAGAGAATAAAAAGAAAAGAAAAAGAAAAATAGAGGAAGAAGAAAAAAGGGGAAAGAAGGAAAAAAAGTAATAGAAAGAGAAAAATGAAGAAAGAAAGAAAGAAAAAAAGAAAGAATTTAAAGAAAAATAGTTACAAACAAGAAAGGAAAAGAAAGAAAAGCGGAAAATAGAAATTAATTAAAAGGGAAGTATAAGAAAAAAATATGGTGGCTATTAAGGAGCAAAAACACGAGTACCTAACGGTGTTTTAATGTTGAAGATATAGCTAGTAATGTTTGGCCATCCATACTTCTCGTAACTTTAAATGTTTCAAAACATATAGGTGAATTTTTCGGATATGATGAAAATGGAAAATAAAGTTGGTGAACTCACTTCAAATTCCGGCTTAGTGTTTTGCGTTAACTTTCGAATAAATGTCCTTAGAAATGGCATGAATCCATCTCTTCTCTCGCTAACTATAGGTTAAGTAGCAAGGTAGACTGGCTTCTCTAGCTTTGAAGTGGCAGCCTCTCATAGCAATTCCAAAATAGTAACGAAACAGAATATGCGGAGGGCCATGATCGCCTACGTGCTTAAGTGACATGACATTTAAAAAAGTAGGAAAAAAAACTTCTTTATCTTGTTCTTTTTTCTTCCTCCATTTTTTTTTTGTTCCCAATTTACTCCAAAACTTACACCCGAAGATTAAATTCACCCAAGAACATAATTCTAACGAATTGCCATATTCTCATCAAAAATAGAAACAACCATATTATCGCATACATCTACCACAAAACTACAGGCACCCAACAAATATCTTCATTTTAAGAGCCACCCCCACCCCAAAGATGTCTAAAATTCACCGCCTATTCCTTAGCATGTAGAATTTGCAATAAAGTAGCCAATAAACATCCCTCAAAAACCCTCTTAGAAGAATGACATAAAACTCTCAAAAAACGAGAATACCTCGCACCACTAATAAACTAGCAGTAAAAATACCTTTAGACCAACTACAAAACCCAAAGAAACACAACAACGAATAAATTCTAGCATACGTCTCAAAATACAGCAAGAACAATCCAAAACTATTTACAGAAATAACAAGAAATCAAGACCTACTTAACAAGAATGATAAAATGAAAGATATACTAAAACGACTAAAATAATTAAAAAACACACACCAATAAAAAACCTAAAGCACATATTAAACTCATCCAAATTTAGCGACATTACAAAAGGTGTTACAAAATGCAACAAAAAAAGATGTGGGGTTTGTGATATAATTATAGCGGGAAAAGCTTGGAATTTTAAAAAAACCCACAAAAAACATTCACAATAAAAAAAAAACTTAAGTTGTAACTCCAAAAATGTATTTTATGCATTCAGGTGCACAAAATGCAACAAATCTTATATAGGTATCACTCAAGCACTAAACAACAGAGTCTCCCTGCACAAAAGCAAAATTAAATTACCAGACAACAGAAAAAATCTTTATGTCACAACAGATCCACAAATGCAACATAGTAACTTTAAAATTATGCCAATACGAATATCAAACAGACGATTACTGTTACTTTCAAATACCAGAAACAAAACTTCACAGACAAATTTAAAGCAGCACTAAACAAATCATAACACCCCCACACATAAACACACACGATACAAAGTGCATATATATATATATATATATATATATATATATTCATGTGTGTACCAAATCACTTCCTTATAGTAATGCAAAATATATTTATCGAAAACGAAGATATATACATATACTGGCAAAACACACAAACACAGCACACAATATGCATGTATTTACTATACAGGTTTCCTTATGTATATATGTATGTATTGGAAACGAATATATATAGACACACTGCCAAAAACAGACACACTGGACGGACCACACACACATAATCACACGCACACACACACACACACACACACACACACACACACACATGAGACGTACACACCCCACAAACAGACACACGCTCCATACAAAGTGTATATATATACTATACAGCTTTATGTATGGAGAAAGACAATGTATATACGCATACTGGCAAAAACACCCACACAAACACAATATACAAGAATAGAGGAAGGAAGACACCACGAAAAGATAGAGGGGGACATGAAAAGAAGAAAAAAACATCCTCTTCTCTTTCTCTTTCTCTGAGCAAATGTAATTGTTTTGTTACCTCTCAACCAGAACATTTTTCAGCCAGTCCAAGATGGATTCAAATGCCGGATAACTACTACTACTACTATTACACACAAAAGACAATTGTTAAAAGATTTAACATAGGAGAAAACATTAATTCCTTTAAATAATAAGTTGAACTAACTATTCTTCGTGAAAGTCACGAGACCCGAGATACGTGTAGTGAAATATACAGAATAAGTATGAAAAAAATCCACAACGTTTGCGTTTTTCTTTCTTTTACACACACACCTACACACACACACACACACACACACACACACACACACATATATATGTCATAAATTTGGGCATGTAATCCCGACAGATATTTGTTATCGGATATTATTTTCGAAATGTACTTTCATGAACGTTTTTACAAAGTATATATATATATATATATATATATAAAATATGTTAGCTCTACTTATATTGAGCGCTTTCCAATTAGTACCGCGCATATATAAAAAATTGCATACATTCATACATATATGAGTGTGTATGTGTGTTTTCATATATTTATACATCCCTGGACATCTTTTTTCGATAGAGAGAGATGACGTGAGAATGAAAGAAAGAAAGAAAGAAAGAAAGAAAGAAAGAAAGAAAGGAAAATGTGCATAAATTCGTATTTTGATTTCTTTGTAGTCGTGTTAAACACATTAAAAAGAAAAGTCTGATCGCGCTCTGGGCCAATACCCCACCCACGTCAAACAATCACACACACACATACACACGCGCGCGCAATAACACACACACACACACACACACACACACACACACACACACACACACACACACACACACACACACACCGTCACGAAAGTCAAATTATGACTGATATTGTTTCACAGTCTTCTTTTTCAAATTCTGTTAATTTTTCTTCAAGGTTGAGCTCGATTTGCAACTCAGCATCAGCTTCTCAGTACGTGTCCGAAAGAGAAAAGATGTAAAATAAATAAATTGAAAGGGAATAAAAATCTATAAACATAAAAAATTTACAATTAAAAAAAATCTCAAACTGATGTTCACCAACCCCACTCGGTGCTGGGCAATGTTATTAGAGACTCTGTTGTTTTCTTTCGGCGTCTTTGACACCATCAAACCAAAGCGACAAAAGGAGCAACGCTTCTCAAAGAAATTAGTACAAACAAAATTAACTCAGTTGAAAGTCATTTGGAGTTCTCTTCCTCTTTCACTTCATTTTTCTCTTCCTTCTCCTCTTCATCTTCTCCCCTCTTCTTCCTTTTTCACTTCGTTTTTCTCTTCCTTCTCCTCTTCATCTTCTCCCTCTTCTCCCTCTTTCACTTCATTTTATCTTCCTTCTCCTCTTCATCTTCTCCCCTCTTCTTCCTCTTTCACTTCGTTTTTCTCTTCCTTCTCCTCTTCATCTTCTCCCCTCTTCTTCCTCTTTCACTTCGTTTTTCTCTTCCTTCTCCTCTTCATCTTCTCCCCTCTTCTTCCTCTTTCACTTCGGTTTTCTCTTCCTTCTCCTCTTCATCTTCCCTCTTCTTCCCTATTTCTTTTTTTTTCTTCCTTCTCCTCTTCATCTTCTCCCTCTTTTCCCTTTTCTCTTTGTTTTCTTTTCTTCTTCTCCTCTTCATCTTCTCCCTCTTCTTCCTCTTTCACTTCGTTTTTCTTCCTTCTCCTCTTTCATCTTATTTTTTCTTCTTCTTCTTTTCTTTTCTTTCTTATTTCTTCTCTTTCATTTCATTTCTTTTTCATTTATCCTTTCTTTTTTCACTTACTTTTTCGTATTTTGTAACCGTTTATCCCTCTTTCTTTTCATTCCTCTCTCTCTCTCTCCCTTTCTCTCTTTCTCTGTTCTTTTTTTCACTTCTTTCTTTTTCATTTTTTATTCAAGCATTTATTATTTCTTTCTTTCGTTTTTCTTCCCTTTTTATTTATTTACTTTCTTTTTATCTTATTTTTCTCAAGATTTTTTTTCCTTTTTCTATATTTCTTTTTCATTCATTCATTTTCGATTTTTTTCTCTTTGTGATCCTGTTCCCTTTATGATATTAGGATGTGCAGATGGTGTAATGAAATGAGAAATTAGAAAGCTGAGTTCGAATTCCAGTCGATTTCCTTACATTCACGCTCAAATAACCTTGAGAAATGTATGGATCCAGTTCCCCTCCACTCCAGCTATGGGTCAAATAGCAGGACTGACTGGGTTCTATAGCCTTGGTTCGCAACCATTATAAAGATGATAACTTCATAAAACCCCATCCAGAAGCTTAGGTCAGATGCGTCGGTCCATAAAAATCACTTTGACTGAAATTCTTCTGTCGTGGGAGTTACGCATTTCTGCGGAGAATGGGTTTTATTTCTTCATTGTATTTGTTTTGTTTTTTTTTGTTTTGTTTCTTTTTTGTTATTTGCCACTGGTGTAGGGACCCGCCGCTAGCTGTCTAAAAATATGAAATGGACATAAAGATTATCAGCACATCCTGAGTATCAGTTATAGGTAATTAAAAAAGAGCATAGCATGATGAAAACAAACTTTTGTCGTCTAAATGTTTATGTCATTATTAAGAGGAAATATCAAAGTATTTTTGGAGTATTCTTTTACATTTTTTAATCGTTCCTAGCACGTCCGAAATTTTCGTTAAAAATCTTGTTTTTTTTTTAGTCATCAAAATTGGCAGATAATCAATCTTGGCAATCCTTTTTTTCCATTTTATAAAAAAATGAAAATCTCACTTTGAAATTCTTTTAAAAATCAATTATCATTTTTTCAAAACTTATTTTAAGAAAATCAGAAATTATAATGTTTATTTAAAATATTTTGAACCAAGTTTAACTTAGCTTCTGTGCCGAAAAGATGTAATTTGAAAATAAAACAAAGCAGGTCATAATCTTTCGCATCACTTAACTGGTGACGAAAGATATTTTCATGACGTTTAGATAGCTGACATGAAGATAATTTCTTCTACGGATGGAGAGAAGTGAAGTTATTTAGATTCAAGTGAACAAATTATTTAACTCGTTATTTTTAAGGAAAACTTTCAGCGCTCTAGTTTTGTTTTTTGTTTTTTTTTTTTGTACTTAGCTTTCATCTTTACGTTTACGATGCTTTATGGAAAATATATTATAAAGAAATTAAAAAATAAAACTTAAGAGTGAGATTAAATTTCATAAGAAAGGTATCTAATTAATTTATAGGTACCTTTCTTATGAAATTTTATCAGAAGTGTACATAAAATACTATAATTTTATGTACATTTACTACATTTTACTGTGTTATTTGTATTTCCATTCATTTTATTATTAATTTTGATATTTCATTGATGGAAAAAATGTCATAACTGAGATTAATATAAAAATAAGATCATATAAATTTCATAAGATGATACTGATACTTGTAGGTACCCTTCTCAGTTGAAATTGAAAAATCAAATTAACTTCTCCACACATGTTTCGCAAAAGTAAAGGCCTTAACAGTGGAGAACAATGCTTAACTCAAATAATGCAACAATTGTATTCTGGTTGGTCTTCCGTACTTTATAATTACAGCCCAATTATAAACACAAAATTAAATTTCTTAATTACTGCGGATCTTCTGATTAGTCAAAATGATACAATTTACAACCCGCTAAAAAAAGATCTATCTCATCAGGTGACTTAGGAAACCCGATGCGGCTTTTAACTAATTTTATATTTTAAAAATTAAATGTAAAAATCTATTATAATTAAAGAAATAAAAAATAATTAAATTAAAAATTCATTTTTCATCGAAAGATTTTTTGCTTTCAGAAAATATTGTCCATATTCATAAAAACAACTAAAAGCAAATAAAAGCATTTGAAATTAAATAATATTTTTAATTTATTGGGTTTTGTATGTTACAATTCAGAGCTGATTTTCAGGTGGTAGGGGTCCAATTGAAAAAAAAAAGCATGATTTGCATTCCACAAAGCCTTGTGCTTTTAACTATTGTAATCACTAAACTGGATTCGATCGAATTTCTAGAGCTTTCATAAAATTAGTTATGGGTAGGGGGTTAATAAATATATATATAAAAAAATTCTGCCATGACTTTAATAAAAAAGAATATATTTATAATAATTTCCATCATCTATGAATTGTTTCTGAAAGATTCATTAATATCCGACAATTATTTTTATTTTTGCAAGATTTTCCAAATTAATGTGTGTCATACACAAAAAAAAAAAAAAAAAAATGTGCTAAAAATTGTTATTTTACTAGTTCCGGTGATACAAAGAGAAGCTAGGATTTTTAAATCAAAATTTAGAATGTTCTAAAAAGAAGGAACATTTTTTTTAAAAATAATTAAAAAAAACTGGTCTTTCCTCTTCATAATAACATAAACATTTAGACGATAAAATTTTGTTTTCGTCAAGTGTGGCGTTTTTTTCATTTTTTTTAGCGATCTCATAGAGTTACCTATGTTAGAAGACCCGCTAAACTTCAGTCGATCTATCCTCTGCTAATATTAATGGGCCGTAACTTCAAACCTCACCTTCGTCATTGCACTTAATGATCTCGTGACTCTGTCCATTTCTGATGTTTTCTTTTATGTAACATGTCCCTTCAGGGTGAAAATGATCATGGCCCTCCGCGATTTCTAGCTCTTAATAATGGTTTTCCGTCTGTTCATGTTCTTGTATCCATTCACAGAAGTTTATTAGGTATGTACTCGCTGCTTTTCTTTGCCCCTCTTTCCTTCGATATGTCGTTTGAGTGTCAGATTCTCCAAGCCATCTTTTCTCATTATGTATCTCATAAATTTCAACTGTCTCTCCTAAGCAAAAGTCTCTTTTTCATTCTCATTTTCCTTAAAACTTCCTCGTTGATTAAATGTTCCGTCCAGGGTATTCTCAGTATTCTTTTCAAGCATTCACTGTCATATAGAAAGAAAAAACAAAGAACAGTGTGCTGAATTACTATCTAATATCATCATAAGATGTTCTTCTGTGCGCCATGTCACTTCAGGACATGGGCTATCATGGCTTTCCACAATTTCCTGTTCTTTGTAGCTTTTAATAAATTTTGTCTTTTTGTTATTTCTCCTAATGCTTGTTCCGCCATCCATTTACTCAAGCTCACTAAGTAGGCTATGCGTTGTCTTTCTTTGCTTCTCTCGCCTTCAGTGTGTCCTGTGAGTATCAGATTTTCCAATCCCTCTTTCCTTATTATGTGCCCTAGAAATTTCAACTATCTCTTCCTGATGTTCAAATATAAATTTCCTGTCTGATTTCATATTCTCTAAAACTTCATCATTGTTCGAATATTCGTTCCATGGTATCCTCAACATCCTTCTGTAGAACCAAATTCTTCATCATCTATGAGGAGGTTGTCCAGCATTCACTGTAATATAAGAAGACTGATATTTCATAACCGTTCAGTAGTTTTTGTTTCTAATGAAATGTTTTGATTTCTTAATACTGTGTTTAGATTTGGGGATTCGTCTTTGGCTAATCCAAGTGCGTGTACGGATTTCAGTGTTACACTTTACGTCCTCTATTAAAAAAAACCTCTTCAGTTTGAAATAAATTAAATGTCTTATTAAAATTAATAAGTTCTATGAGATGAGAAAAGTTTTCAACGAAGTACATGAATATGAAAAGTTATGTGAAATTTAAAATATTTTTTATTTCTTCCTGTGTTGCTTTCAGGTTATGGCCATTTTCAGCATCGTTTTATTTAGAGGATGATATAAATTACTGGTTTCCAAACAGTGCGACGCACCTGTTAGGTGCGGCGGAAGAGGATAGCAGGTGAGGCGGAATGATTTAGAAAACAATGAAGGATTTAGAAACATTTGCCAAAAAATATATGATTTTAAAATTTAATGTATTATTATGGATTAGTTGCATGCATGAATCTCAGTATAAATAATTACAAATAATTATTGATCGATTTTATCATTGTTATATTTTTGCATTATGTCAAGTATTAAGAATAGAGTAACTAGGCTCCGTAAATTGGAGGAGAGAGTTATCAACGATATTGATCTGACTTCGAATCTGCAGTTATCTCCCTTTAACTATCTCGCTGGACCCTCTTTGCAGTAGGGCTGCTTGAACCTTTTCATCGAGACTTCACTTCCCCTCAGCCAATGTCTTCGTACATGTAATTTTTATCACATAATATTTGGTGAGGCGCGAGAAAATTTTCATTTCGAAAATGCGGTCCAGAGAAAAAAAAAAGTTTGGGAATCACTGATATAAGTCTTCCTTTCATTGGTGGGTAAGTTAGTTCACAGGTCTTGCCTCCTTGCAAGACGTAGGAGTCACTGTGAGTGGTTATAAACATGTAGATTTTTTTTTCCCACGGTTTTTTTTAATCTACTTCCGGTGATCAAAAAGAAACTGAACTTTGCTTAATTTTTCATTTGATCATTTTTTCGTGAGGGCGAACACTTCCGATTTGACCTCGACACCTTCCTTTCGTTCTATTTCTAAGACTCAACTTTTCTCTGTTTGAAACATTTCTCTTTTTCTACTTTAATTAATGAAATTCTTTCATTTTCATCCCCTTCTATTTCTTTTTTTTTTTTCTCTTACTTTTTTAAAAAAAAAATATGTATTTCAAATTCGTCTCTTTCTTTATTTTTTCATTCTCTCCTTCTTTTTGTTTATTCTTTTCTATTCTCTTTCTTTCTTAGTCTCATTTTTCGTTTTGTATCTTTTTCTTTCTTTTTGCGAATCTTTATAATCGTCTTCTTCGCTGAATTCTTTCTTCGACATTTTATTCCTTTACAGTTGCACACTTTTTTTTTATTTGTTTTCATTTGCATGCTTCACAATGTTCTTTTCGCCTTTGGAACATATTTAGAACTAAAACACCCAGCCGAACAAGGAGGAAAAAGAAACCTTGGTTTTATTATGCGATACATTTTAAAATTATGTTATTGTGATTTTCTCATACCGACAGGATGAATCTTATGCCCAACATGAAATGAAAATACTTGCTTAATCTTTTTTCTGTTTTCTTTTTAAAGCGATAAAAGCAAAACGTGACTTTAAATCCTGACATAATCACTATCACCA